TATATATGTGTGTGTGTGTAGGGAAATAGATTACGCCAAAACATTTTGCGCGTCTCCTTTTCAGACTTTGTCAAAGGCTCAGTTGATGCAGGCAAATGTTCTTAAACCACCAACCCCCCACAAAAAAAACAAACAGAATTTTTTTTCTGTTTTTGACTTATTCACCTAGATTTCTAATAAATTATAGTCACATTTTGGCAAGTTCCAAAGCAATGAATAATTTATTGATAGCTAAAAGAGCATGTCTCTATTGCATCAGTAGAGCGTTTCTAATACTTTTGCGTCAAGCGCCTCCGCTGATATGTATTGTCTATACACTTTTTTTTAGTTCTTCACTTCTGAAATGACCACCTGGGGTTGATGTGGTTTTTATATACAGTACAAAGACATCTACCAGTACTAGCAGCATTCACCACAAATGGTCCTGGACATTCAAGCAACACCAAAAAGTAAATAAATTTAAAAAAGACTTTTTGTTTTGTGTTTGTTTTAGACGGCTCAATAAACTAATTTCAGTTTGAATTCCCATATACTGTAGACATACATATATACATATATATATGTATAAATATGTATCTATTAAATATGTATCTATCTATTGATAATTCTACTACAAGTGCAAGTGACCACACAGAAAAAAAGAAAAAAAACTAAAATGCAAATAAAGTGACTCGTAATGACTCTACAGAGGACGTATACAAAATAGATGTCTTAAGGACAATGAACAACACAAGTCCTCGTTTGAGCTATTGCACGTTCGTTCCCAGATGCACTTCTCAACCTCATACCACAATCCAGCGTTTAGTCACTAAAGTCTTAAACCACCAGCAGAATGATTGTTTTTTTTTTCCAAAATAGATGAAAAAAAGTTGGTGTACGTTTTGTCAATGGGGCTACTTCCTGGTTTGTGGGGAAGGGCAATTTCTGATTTCTCTTGGAAAATTTGCTTCATCAGTGAACTTTACATATGCTTAAACTTCAGCTTTCAATTTTTTTTTAATCCAGTACAGCACATTTCTTCAGTACAGTTCAGTTGTATTTAACTTAGGGACAATACAGTTGCAGTTCAAGGGCGATTTGTTTTCCGACATTTATGCTACACTTTGCCTTCAACTTTTTGTGCAATACATTTTTACTGAATCACATTTGAAATTATTTTCTTTTGTTTTGAACTTCCTCTATTTAACATCTGTGTTAATGTTGAGACAGCAGACTCTCCCCACTTAGATCACAGTGGCTTGAGTATGCTTTTTAGGACTAAATACTTTGCCTTGTTTTTGATGAACATCGTTTTGACTGTTGGTCATGACAGTGGGACCACTGATAAACAGAATGAGGGAGCAAAGTTAACCCCTTGAGGGCCAGCGGTTACCACGGTGGACAGCTTATCATGATCAGGTTAAAGGTTACCATGACTGGTTCATGAAAGGGTTAAACAGCTGCAATTTCCTCCCTTCGGAAGTAGTTCTCGAGCCGTAACAGTACACGTGAATAGGAACTTGAGAAAACATCACATCTCCCACATCTGGTTTGTTGTAGGTTGTCCCCCTGCGCAAAGCGCACACAGTTGCAGCAATATCCTGCTCCCGTGAGGTTCTGCGTGAAATCTAAAGGTGGATAAATGCTCATGCTTATTTCACCACTTTACTGTCAAAAAAGGTGGAGAAAACAACCGAGCTAGTGGTGGCTTAAGACTTGCGCGCAGTACTGTATGCTTGTGTATACATATATATTAAATATGTACTGTATATATTTCTGTATATAAAATGTCACTGGTGAGTCTACTGCATAGAATTCTCTCTTGTGGACAAAGTGGGTTTCCTTGCTACAGAAGCCGCTGTCTTCTCGTCAGCCCGTTTGAGAAAAGATGACATGCGGTCATCTACTTTCCAAGCTCACACTTTAAAATTCACACAGAGCTCTTTTCCTTATTTTCTTTTGAAAGAAAGTCAGCAGACTTGTTCTCCGATTAAATAGAATTTGACTCTGTAAATCATATGGCACATATAATATATACATACAAATTTGGCAGACCACGACACAAAACATGTAGTCGAGTGAATGACGTACTCTGTCGATAAGCTCTGTCTATAAACATAAATACGTTTTTTTTTGTTCTCTAGATGAAAAAATACCACTTTTGCATGAACGGTGGAGGTGCAGTGCGTGTGGAGGCAATACCATAAATAAATAAATAGACATTTAAAACCACCGTTTCCAAGGGCTCCCTCTGAGCGAAGGACTGTTTAGCCTCCTTTTGTTCTTTTTTTTCTTTCTTGGAATATGTCAAAGTTACGACACTCATACCCAACGAAGCGCGGAGCTTGTACATTATTTACAGGGATCCACACAAAGGGCTGCTGGTCGTGAGCGTTTACCCCCGCCCCGTGATTCGTCGTCGTGACGCTAGCCTGCTGCTAACATGCTATTCACAGTTTGTGTGCAAGCAAGGATATCCTTGTTTGTCTCTTTCGATCCGTGTACCATTTAATTGGCACTGGGAACACAAAAAAGGGACGGATTATTTAATTTGTTTTCTAATCTGAAAAACACACAACACACACACCCAAAAAAAAAAAAAAAAACGGGGAAGAAAATGCCTTGCAAGCAACACAATCAACCTGGACTGTGACCGCGATCCATCAGTCAAATGTGTCTGAAGCGCTCTTGCAATTGACTAAATGTATTTCATCTGACACAGAAGATAAGCTTCCCCTTGTTTTCAATTTATAATCACCCGGATTATGGTCTAATAAATGAGTCTTTTTTTTTTTGTGTGTCAAACAAACAAAAAAACTCATCGATGTTTAATTTTTGGATTTTCAGCTACTGAAAATGGAGGAAACAAATGACATTTATTTTCCTCTTTTTTTGTGTTTTTGGCACATCATGTGGTAACGGAGAGGGGGGGGGCGGGGGGCAAACAGCCACTGAAGAAAGACAAGGACGGCCACAAGCACTAAAGCGGCCGGCGTGGATTTCACAATTCGTATGTGAAAACCTCTTTCCTGGCTGGTGGTGGTCTTAGCGGCAGTCTAGGGTCCTGACAACGGGACTCGTTTTTAAGCATCTTCTTTGCCTTTCCCCCCCCACAATTTGGGTTAGCAAACGACACAGATTCAAACGGAAAACACAAGTTTGCATGCATTCGCAACGGCGGCTCGGCAAACGCTCCCAACGGCCGACGCCAGGCTCAGTGAACCAAGACTGAACCAATCGAGGTTTGGCGACTAAAACAGTCTACAGCTTGACCCGGCGTGATTCTGCTCGTCAGGGCGCTGAAGCCGAGTCGAGCTGCCTGTCGGCTATGATACGCCATTAAACAGTGAGGGCGACATGAAGATGAAGCTGCATTTGAGTGAGTTGGGTGAGACGGATGACACAGGAGCAGGGCTGATGGGCGGTGAAGGGGATCGGTAATGGTCAGGTTGGAGGGAAGCGGGATGGGAGGGGGTGGGGCTCTGCTTTTTCAGGAGTAGATGGTGATGACCTCGCGTCCGCCTCCGCGGACAAGAAGGACTCGGTTGAGACCTTCAGTGAGGACCTCAAGGAACTCCATGTCTGGTTGAGAAAGGTCAAGGAACTTCAATATGGCATCACAACAACAATTTAAAAATCAGGTCTGAGCCGATGAGATTGCTATTGCTCACCAAAACAGTAGCACCTACTGACCCATCTGAATGCTTTCCCAGATGAATTAACCACATGTTGTACAGCCGTGATTTCCGCTTGCCAGCCAAACGCCGTTCGCATATTAACCAACATACTCAAACACTCACATCTACTGTACAGACAGTTTAGAGCAGGGGTGCCCATTAAGTAGATCGCCAGCTAGCAGTAGCTCGCGGAGGGAGTGTCATGTCGGTAACTCTCATCATAGTATTGTTAACTCCCGCATATTATCCGTTGTGAAATTTGTTCCTTGACCTTCGCATGCTTCACAGCGTACATCGACAAATATCATACATACAGAATAGCCTCATGCCCATTCATCCCCTGCACGTTGAACACTTCATTCTTGAACATTCTTTTCATCGAGTCCAAAATGACCTTATGAAATTCAAGCCTGGCATTCTCATTCCACCCCATCCACACTCGTCATGTGTAGGAGCCTTGAAATAAGCATGACCTTAAACTCTTGGTCATATTTGTTTTATCTTACGTTATTTTCACAAGTCTTGGGGCTTACTGGGTTAACCTGAGATCTCCGGGATTGGAGTTCGTGGCATATCGTGTGTTGGTTCAGGTCAACAACAACAAAAAGAAAAGTTCTTGGATTTCTGTATCCGTGAAGTTGGAGGACAGGAAAATTCCTTGAATCCTTGACAACTCAACTTTAAATATGACTTGAAAGGACAAGGCGACAATAAACTAGTAAAAAGGTAAATAAGCATATACTGTACTACATTCATAGCAATTTAAAAAAACAAAACCAACCAAATACAGTCTGTTCCTGCGCACTTTGGCCTCTGAGGGGGTGTGTGGTGACATGCATGCATGAAGTACACACTCACAAGTTGCAATTGAGCTCTATTAATATAATTATTATATATAATATTTTAGGTGGGCCTTATAGTGCGGAAAATACGGTCATCTTCCAACGTAGTTCGCATGCTGGAAAGGTGCGGGCACAACTGATTTAGAGTCTAAAAGAGATGCACTCTCTTTTGAATCAGGATTTTAGCAAAGGATACAGTTCTCATCACCTGTCCGGTTCTTAGGTGGCCCGGGCATGTTGAGCAGGACCAGCTTGGCCTCGGAGGACTTCTTGATGATGGCTTCGTTAAGTCGCAGCGCCGTGTGCATACGTCGCACGTTGGACTGGTTCCTGGGTGGACACAGATGAGACAAGGATGTCGGGACTTGTAAGGCAGGACAAAGCCACTCGTGTGGTCGTGGATGACAGATGCTCACTCTCACACATTTTAATTGTCCTCATCCACTCATGTCATGTAATAAGTAGTTGGAGTGAGGTTTGAAGGATCTTTGGTACTTACAGGTTCTCCCATTCACTGCAGCAGGAGCAAGAAGGGAAAGACGTATATATCAGAACCAGAGTAGCAAGAGTACTCACACTCTGTACTTAAGATTAAGTACAGATACTTGTGTTTAAAACAAATGAAAACGGCTGACCCATGAGTGAGATTAAAACGGGTGGATTTTGCAGTTTCATTGATATTCCACAAACACGATATTCATCAGAATGCTGTGTTAAGACAAGTGGGGGTCATGTGGAACTCATTGTTGCAAAGAACATTTTTGACTTGACCTCCCTTTGAATTATTCAGCCGCGGGGCCAGTTTATTGCCTGGCTCAGTCCCTATCCGTAGTAGTAGATGTGTGGGTATCGTGTGGTGGAACCCCTGTGAGCACTCACGGCTTCATGTTGAAGATGTCCTTGATGCCGCACGGTGTGGCAGCGGCGGCGGACTTGCTGGCGTCCCCATCGCACTTCTCCGTCCAGGTCATCTGAACCTGCTCCCCGGGGCTCTGGGCCGACTCGGCCGAGGCTGCTGGGGCCGCCGGGGTGGCGGGGCTGGTCGGGGTGGTGTTCTCGTGAATGAGCTGCACCTGGGCAGGGGTGGGCACAGGGGGAGAGGCCGACTTTGACTATGAGGAGGAAGAGGAGGAGGAGGACGGATGGTAGCGAAGCCGGAGGTGGAGATACATGTAAATCCACGAGTGTTGGAATGCAGGTCAAAGTCACAGAATGTTTGAGAGGGACAAGAGAGAGGAAGTGGGGTTCAAAAACAGTTGTGTTGTCATTTGATAGCTTGACTACTAAACAGTAACACAGAGCAACTAAAACATGTTGGTCAGTCTGAGCATCCACGACCAAATTTGGATGCAGGGTTGTTTCTATGCCAAATCATCAGGTGGGTTTAACCCAGCAGTGCATTTCGGTTTTAATTAAACTTGCTGTACTTGTTGATCATGATGGGACAACACAAAATGTCAAATTTTTGGGTCAAATAGAGGTTTGGGCGGAATTTTGACCTTTTTTTGCCAGAAGGGGCGGGGTCGCCCTTCTTTGCACCCTTAGATCTCGGGAAGTACGGGGTCAGTTTTCACAAAACAGATATTGTTGGAGGGGAATCCACACCCGCAATCATTTAGAAGGTTGGTGAATATTTGCATAACTTGACCTTCCATCCATCCATTTTTTGATCCGCTTATCCTCACTAGGGTCGCGGGATGTGATGGAGTCCAATCCCAGCTGACTTTGGGCAGTAGCTGGGGTATACCCTGAACTGGTTGCCAGCCAATTGCAGCGTATACATAGACGAACAACAATCTGCGCTCACAATCACACCTGGGGACAATTTAAAGTGTTCCATTAACCTGCCATGCATGTTTTTGGAATGTGTGAAGAAACCGGAGTACCCGGAGAAAACCCACGGAGGCATGGGGAGAACATGCAAACTCAACACAGAAGTCAAGTCTTTTGGGGGGAAACAAATAGCTTAATGGCATTTGCATTCATTTCAGTCAGGAAAGACAATTTCAGACATGGTGTTGGCAATCGGTCACGAAACAAATTAACTCGTATCTCAAGGCACTTCTGTCAAATAAGTCTGCAAAGTAGTAGCGCACTTGTTGCTAATGAGTCGCTCATTTTGGTTTCTGATGAGCGTGAATCCTTTGAGCGAAGGCAGCACTAAAAAGTGTGGAATACAATGAGAACATATTAATTTTGACGCAAGACTGCATTAGCATTCCCACCTTGCTTTCCTGTTTCACCATTGCGAGAAATGTCGCGTGTGGTGCACATCTAATCAAAAGGCTTCTTAGCCGTCATTGATTTGGCGGGGTGAGTTTGCAAATTGTTATTATCGAAAAAAACAAAATACAAAACATGTAACCCAAGAAGTTCGACAACAAACAGAAGTAAACCCATGCAAGCGCTCTACCTCCTCCTCCGGCTTTTCCTCTTTACCGGCCGCTGGCGGTTCTTCGCTCACACTCAGCTGGGTGGTGACAGACGCAGGGTTCTTGCGCCGAATGGAGCCGCGGGATGAGTCAGTGATGCTCTGGATCTGTGAAGACACCACAGCAAGAGAGAAAAATGTAAAAAGAAAAAAAATAAATCAAGAACTAAACAGATGATTTCGACCAGTTTCAGTTTGTGGTGCGTGGCAGGCAATGACTCACATAAAAGTGAAACATAAAGCAACCATGACTTGACTGGGGGAGGTCATAAAAGCAAAAGGTTCAGATAAGTGTCAGTACATTCCATCCCTCTGCCAAGACATCATGGCGTCCACAGCAAAGATGCAGAAAAGGAATATGGCATCTCACCATTCTGATTTTTCAAAATACACTTCAGTCTCGCAACGCTTTAGGTGTCACGTCAAGTCAAATCAAGTCGAGCCACGCCGAGCTGAACCCGTCAAGTCCCATTCGCGTGCACATTTTTGAGTGTCCCTTTCTCAAAGATGAGGGCAGGAACTTTCTTACCTCCCTCTCACGCTCGTTCTTGGTCAGGTTGATCTGCTTCAGCATCTGTGAGCGTTGTTCCATCACCAGGGTCTTCTCGTAGGTGTATGCTGAGATGTCACTGTCGTGCTGCGGGGAAACACACCAGCGGCTTCAAAACACCGACAGACAACACTTTGGTTCAGTGATAGAAAGCGGAAACTGTCTTGGACAAGAAATATTTTTGAGGCAAGGCCATCCATTCATCCATTTTGTTCCGCTTATTCGGGGTTGTGTGGTGGGGCAGCAGCTTTAGTAGAGAACTCTAGACGGCCCTCTCCTCAGCCACTTCATCTTTCTCCTGCTGGGGTATGCCAAGTTGTTGCCAGGCCAGCTGGAGACAGTGTCTCCAGTGTGTCCTGGGTCGCTCTTGAGGCCTCCTACCGGTGTGACCTCACCAGGGAGGGGTCCAGGCATGCTAATCAGATGCCCGAGCCACCTCATCTGACTCCTCTCGATGCAGAAAAGCGGCGGCTTTACTCTTAAGTCACTCACGGATGACTGAGCTTCTCAAAGGGAGAGCCTGGACACCTTACGGAGGAAACTCATTTCAGCCACTTGTATCCGGGATCTTGTTCTTTCAATCATGACCCACAGCTCGTGGGCCAAGACCATAGGTAACAGTTGGATTAGATTAGATTGACCAGTAAATCGAGAGCGTCGACTTTCGGCTAAGCTCCTTCTTCAAAGATGACAAACCAAAAGAGAGTCCGCATCACTGGAGACACCAATTCTGCTTATCTCTTAGTTCATCCTTCCCTCACTTGTGAACAAGACCCCAAGATACTCGGACTCCTCCACATGGGGAAGGATCTCATCCACGACCAAGAGAGGGAATAATACCTGTTTCCGACCAAAGACCATGGTCCCAGATTTGGAAGTGCTGATTTTCATCTCGGGTGGCCCGTTGGTCGACTGGTTAGCGCGTCAGCACAGAGGTGCAGGATTTGTTTCCGGCTCTGGCCTTTCTGTGTGGGATTTGCATGTTCTCCCTGTGCCTGTGTGGGTTTTCTCTGGGTACTCCGATTTCCTCCCACATTTCAAAATGCATGGCGGGTTAATGGAACGCTCTAAATTGTCCCTAGGTGTGAGTGTGAGCGCGGATGGTTGTTTGTCTATGACTGCCCTGCGATTGGCTGGCAACTGGCTCAGGGTGTACTACTGCCCAAAGACAGTTGGGATAGGCTCCAGCGCGCCCTGCGTCCCTTGTGAGGGTAAGCGGATCAGAAAATGGATGGACGGATGGATTTTCATCCCAAGGGCCTCAAACATGGCTGCGAACCACTCCAATGAGAGTCGGAGATCGCGGCTTGAAGAAGCCAATGGGAGCACATCATCTGAAAAAAGCAGAGATGCAGTACTGAGGCAACCAAACCGGACAACACCTAGAAATTGGGGCCATAAAGGGAACAGAATTGGTGACAAAGGGCAACCTTGGTGGAGTCCAACCCTCACTGGAAACAAATCCAACCTCCTGCAGGCAATGCGGAGTAAACTCTGACATCAGTTATACGGGGACTGAACAGCCCATTGGATGTTAAAATATATACAGGTATATTTATTTTTTAAAAATTGCTATGTTGGTAAGTCACCATTTCCACCACTTCCACCATGGCGTCGATACGGAGATGATAGAGGAAGGTAGTCAGGTCCTTTTTCATCTGGATGCTGTTGTCGTCCATCTGGGCTACGGTGAAGATGCGCATCTTGCACTTCCTCCAAACCTGAGAGTGAATGAACAAATGTTGCACTGGGATGCTTTTATTTCATAAAAACAGAGAAAGGAGCTCGAGGAGCACCTTGTGTTGGCGCAGGAGGAAGGGCAGCAGCATCAGCATGCCTCCATCATGGACGATCCACCACACATCGATGTGACCCTCGGTAAAGCGCTCGCCGTTGGACGGGAAGGCTGCGATGTTTTTGGGTACGAGCAAGGCCAGGTGAGCTGCAGTGGTTTCTCGCACCAACTCTACAAGGAGGACAAGATAGAGGTGGAACTCTCAGGATGCAATATTTTTACAATCGATTATCCCGTGGATTAATTGAATAAAAAAATGAATGTGCATTTTTGCCAATTTATCACCATTTGTACATATTTCGAACCAACCCACCGACAAAATTCCTCCAGGTCTGGTGCTCGTCGCCTTGTTTCCAGTTGCGTGGCCATGACACCAGCATGGCGTTGTGCTTGAGGCCGCCCAGGCCGCTGGCCTGGAGCAGGTGGGAAGTGGCATCCCGCAAGTTGGACGAGACCGTCACCTGACAGAAGCCCTTCACCTTCTCTGTCTCCATCAGTTTACGTAGCGCCTATGAGGATGGGGGGGGGGGGGGGGGGGCGTTGTTTGGAATGTCAGACCCCAAAGTCAGTTATAGTTAGCGACATGAAATGGCTGAAATGATACAGGAAGTCTGCCCTTTTGGTTTGAAGTGGTCTATTTTTTTTCAACTTCCAGGGCAAACCTGTCGTAGAAATTTGGCCCAATTGCTACATTTTTGACCATAAATGCTACACAGATGGGGTGCGGGGGACACAAAATTGTGAAGAATCCAAGTTTTCATCACTGCCCATATTATTTTATTGCATTGTGGTTAACTTCTTTATTACACATGTATTAAGAACAATGCAGGAAGTTGACTCACTTTCCACGATACTCCCTTCTCCAAGCATCATGAAAAGGTGTGTAGTTTTACTTTATTTTATACGCTCTCTGTTTATACATTCAATCAGACTTCTTCTTACACTTGCATGAAAAAAAACTAGAAAAATAAGTAGATTTTATTTTGGATTGAGAAAGTGAAACCCTCCTGTTCCATTTGTTTCTAAGGTACACCAAAGATTTGCAATTTACTCAAAAAGGTTACCTGTAAAATGTTTATTTATTTAAAAAGTTTTATGAGGGTGAGTTTGGTCTACAGTAGGCTTACAGTAATCCAAATAAATCGTGAAAGAATAAGAATTTGTATAAAATTGCTTGTATTCATAGATGAACTGTAAACATACCACAAACTATGAGCCCAAAACACTGCGATATTATTCAAAACTCATCTTACAATTCTCCTTGATATCTATCGTCTTACAGCTTTGATTTCACATGCAGCGAGATAGCTTCCACTAACAGCCTGGGCTAAATTTAGCTCCTCTCCACCATACAAAGGACATGTCCCATACTTCCTGAAAACCAATGACAACTTTCCCATGATACAGTTCTTTGACACCATCTTGTGGCACCTTTGGGAATTACAGAAAGTGGACTTACAGTAAGTACATCTGGAAGCCGCTCATTTTTAATTCAGCAAGTGATAGAGGTTAAAAAAAATCTAGAATTTATGAATAGTGAACCGCAAATATTTCCTGGATCTCATGGAGAAAATTGCCTACCTGCTCGGCCCTCTGAGTGTGTTCATAGTTGTCCAGGTAGGTGCCCACCAGGGCCGTGCCCACGATGGTCAGGCCCTTGCCTGCCTTCAGTTGGTTGGTCAGAGAAAGCAACCTGGGTTGCTCCACATTCTGCTCAGCATCCATGCTCACCAGCACCAGCAGCTGAGGCCTGGTGGGGGACAAAGCCACAGTACAGGAGTGGGGTGAAAAAAAGTCCAGGGTGGGGGAAAACAAACAGAGCCAGGGCGCGAAAGAGAAGCAGCTGAAGGGGGGCAAGTAAAAAAGTACAAGTGGGGAAAGAGTGTGACGTGTTAACTCTTGTTGGTTTGTGATGGCTGTGATGTGGAGAATCGCATTAGCTGGCAGATATTAGATTGGCAGATGTGTTGTTCATTTCTCTGGAATTAGCCACATCCACCACACGGCGATGTTGGTATGTGCGTGTGTGTGTGTGTGTGTGTGTGTGTGTGTGTGTGTGTGTGTGTGTGTGTGTGTGTTTACCTCCAGTTCTTGGTGTGGGGAGGACCTTCCTCCAGACGCATAAGAGCATAACGTGCAGCGCTCAGGGACAGACCTCGAATGCCGTCACCCCACTCCTTCTCCGCACTGCAAAAACACGTGCACACACGCACACGCATGCACAGAAGCTTATCAATCATGTTGTCATTCATCACATACTCAAACATAAATGCAATGCGACATGACAGTCTGCTCGCTGCAGCTTTCGGTATTCCTGCACAGGCGACAAGAGATTTACAGAGAAAATAAAAATGCCTGCTTCAGATATTTTAAAAATATGTTTCACATATCAATATGTCGATTATTGTGGTTATATTGCATACCTAAAATACTAAGTAGGTTCTGTTTGTATTTTGCTCTTATTGGTTTTTTTTTCTCTCATACAACTATAGTTTAAAAGTTCCTTCTAATCATTATAAGACAAATTACAAATTACAGTACATGATTTTTAAAGTTGGACATTTTTAAATGTTATTTTTTTATTCCATTCACCAAGTTACTTACCTATTTGTACTTGACTGAACAGATATTAAAGTATAACTTTGGTATGTATTTGATCTGTGAAGTGAATTTTATTTTTACAAAATCTTTTTGGGCTGAAAGTGTTTCTCAGTGGAGTGGCCGGGATTTTTTGGGTTGATTTTAGTCATGCATTTATGTTATTTTATAATTCATGAATAGCCTATATTCATGTTATTGTTAGATTTATTTATTTTTAATTTATCATTTATTGAGTTAAACATTTCATGATTTCATATTTTTTTAATTATTCATTTTATTTATTTATTTATTTTATTTGTTGTGTTTTTGTCCATTTTGTTTCACTTTCCTCAGAATATGTATGTATATATATATATATATTTTTTTTATTCCAAATGTAATCAAATAAATGTTCAATAAATGTTTTTGTATTCTTCTCTCATGTTTTGATTTATATTTAATTCTCCTTTACAAGTGACAATTTGAGAATTTATTTTGCATTCCACTTAAGGGAATCTTGGTGCTACCAATGAATGTTGACTTGATCTGACTCCACATCAAATTAGAGCATCACAACAATATTCATGTTAAGCTTCATTATCACTCACCCTGCAAACTCAATATACTTGTAGATGGAGCCGGCAATCACCATGGCAACAATAGCATAGTACCAGGAGCACAGGAACATGAGTGTGAGACACAAGCTCATCCCCAGGAAGGACAGAGTCCTGCGAGGAACAAAAGACACAGGCAGTGAAAGGACATGCGGCCTTCGTGAAAAAAGGGCAAGGAGAGTTGGTGTTTTGGATGCGCGCACCAGTGGTAGAACTTAAAGCGAGGCCTCCAGTTGGGGGTTCGCAGGAGAGTCTGTAAGGCGCAAGCCAGGTTCACGAACATGTAGCACATCAGGAAAAACCTGAGGGGGGCACACAAAACACAGGGTGAGAATTTTCTGGAAAAATACTGGGAAGTCACAAAACATGTTTGAATGGCTTCTGTTCACACATCAAGCGTAAAAGTAAGTTAATCTTTTATCTATTTCAGAAAACGTGACTGTGAGCAAACTGTTCTGAAATATTTGTCACAATTAATTGATTAATTTAAATGGCAATCATAATCATGGAATAAAAAAATCTTTAAAAATTGTGGTTAGAATATTTTAGCGGGGTTACTTCATCTTTTGGTGACATATTTTAATTTTATATTTTAATTTTTCTCATAAATACCACTTTTTACGCTCACACTAACCCTCTTCTTTTTTTTTTATCACGTTATGAAGTTAAAGGACTTACATTATAAAATAATGCAACAAATGTTCAGAGCAAAAACATAGTTGCTTCCTTAATTCATACAAAGGTTCTTTTCAATTTGAGAGTCCTGTTATGATACGAGAGATGTTTGCAAGTTTATTGTGCAAAAATCTGTGAAAGAAATGAAAAGAAGATGAGTTCTGTTGTTAAAGTTAAATATTGGAATGGAGCACAGATAAATATGAAAAATTACAATTCACTTTTAATTTGCACTACTACAAAGAGATGAAAATTGACAGCATAATTAGCAGTGGTGTCCTTTTATTAATTCATGCATTTTTTTTTTTTTTTGTCATGATTAAACTTGCAGCAGTCACATTGACCGATCTGTTTTACCAAAGAAACAAACACAGCAGGAGCTTTTGCAATTGTTGGACCGTGTCATTTGCATTTTTCTCATTTCCTATGGGGAAACTCCATTAAAAAATATGACTTCTCACTACAAGCACCAGAATGCAGTTGACTTAACTCGTCCAGAACTGGTTAAAGAACTCACATGGACAAGATAGGAGCCACTGAGTCCAGGGAGGCGATGAGGATGCCGCTCTCGCAGATGAATGCGGTCAGCAGCAAGGACCACGTGGGCTCCCCGTTGGCCTTCCCATGTCCAAAGATCTACAAAACATACCCCCCAAAAAAACATTTGTCTACACTTTTAATTGGAGTTGAATCGGTACTTCTACTTTTGAGGTGGCGCCGATAAGACTGACCCGTAGCGCGGGTACGATTCCATCTTTGGCGATGGCCTGCAGCAGACGCGGCGCCCCCGTCAGGCTCTGCAGTCCGGCTCCGCAGGTGGAGAAGAAGGAGCCGATCACGATCACCCATGGCGATGGCCATGCCAATGTGCCGATAACCAAGTTCCCGTGCACCCCTTCCCCAAACCTAAGACAGGGTGGGCGGCGTCAAACCTACAGAGTCACCCTGAAACCATTGTATGGGGGCGGCACTTACTTATCTCGGAGGACCACGCCGTCAATGCAGGCACCGAAGAGAATGACGCTGGACATATCTGTGAAGGTTTAGGTAAGGAACGCAAACAATGTTGAACAGCATCCATCCATCCATCCATCCATTTTCCGATCCGCTTTATCCTCACAAGGGTACTGGAGCCTATCCCAGCTGTCTTTGGGGGACACCCTGATCCGGTTACCAGCCAATCGCAGGGCGCAAAGAGACGAACAACCATCCGCGCTCACACTCACATCTAGGGACAATTTAGAGTGTTCAATCAGCCTGCCATGCATGTTTTTGGAATGTGGGAGAAAACCGGAGTACCCGGAGAAAACCCACACAGGCACGGGGAGAACATGCAAACTCCACACAGGAAGGATCGAACCCACAACCTCCGCACTGTGAGGTCGACGCGCAAACCATTCGACCACCGGGCCGCCTATGTATAAAATGCAAGTGTAAAATGATTCAGGTGGACAAAATGATGTGGACTATATTTCATTAAACTGTCCATGCACGGCAACTGCAGACGTTGTGCGCTGGGCTTTATTTGGAGGGAGCCATCCATTTGAGAGAAGCCACTTATTTGTACCAAATGCTTATGTAATACGGCTAGACCATCTTTCTTGATAAAGTGTTCGCTGGCAGGTGTCTACTCACTAGTGCCGGGTTTTAATTTGAGTGAGGCATCCGTTTAAGAAGACAGCTTTCATGTGCATGAAAAGCTCGTTGAATAGATTCAGAGGTACACTTAATGTTGATTACTTCACATAATGGGAAATTTGCACTGCCATGCTCTTATTTGAGAGGAGGCTTTTAATTTGACAAATTCTTACAGTGGTACTTGAAACCTCGGATGGATGTGGGGGGCAACGCATGAGTAAAAATACAAAAGACTTTCCAGTAGTTGATGCACGTAGACCTCAAGCTCAGAAATCGATTTAGTACGTGATAAAATCTCAGTGATCAATGACTATGTAATTAATATCCTTCAGCTTTATTCAGTCACATTGGCATTAGGGGCCCGGCCATGCGATTAGGAAACCTAATTAAATCTACTCAGACCCCACCAGCTGATTACTGTGAGACAAGATGGAAGAGCGCATTAGCTCACTGCGTGCAACTGCAGCAGCTATGTCACTTTCCACCTGCGATGTTACTCCACAACAGACGCTTTCATTTAAAGGGGATGTCTCTTTGACAGGAGGCCTCCATTTATACGAAAATGTCCGCGTGAAAGGGTGGTGCCGCATTCAGCGCTGATGACTGTATTTGTTCAAATTGTGGATTTTGCAAACTATGAGAAATTCTGAGGAAGCCTTTATTGAAAGTGCTTGTGGAAAAAGGTTTGACTGAGACACGGTGATGGTGGACACATTTCTTATGGCCATGGACAGTTGTCTAACCAACTGCCAACATTGCCAGGTGTGGCGTCTATCTGAAAGGAGGTATTTATTTGTCCAAATTGCTGTTATAAAAAAAGACTGGTGCTAAACACAACACTGGCAACCATATTTATTACTCAACTGAACTGTATTTAAAGAGCACTTTAAAACAGCCATCGCTGTATAGTGGTGCGAGGTCATTTAAAGATTTGAAAACAAATAATAGGATCTTAAAAAGAACTCTAAAATGTATAGGGAGCCAGTGAAGGGATGCCAGAGGAGGAGTTATGTGCTCCCTCTTATGGGTACCAGTAAAGAGGCGAGCAGCAGCATTCTGGACCAGCTGGAGACACTTAATGGAGGACTGGCTGACTCCAAAATAAAGTGCATTAAAGTAATCGAGCTGGGATGTGACGAAGGCACGAATTACTGTTTCAAAGTGCTCATGTGAAAGGAGAAGTTTTACTTTAGCCAGCTGCCTAAGATGAAAGAAGCTGGATTTAAAAATGGCACCAATTTGCCGGTCAAGTTTAAAATCACTGTCCAGTTTAACACCCAAGTTTAAGACTGCTGAGTTGAGATAATCAACTTAAGATAAGTTGATAAGATAAGAGGACTTAAGATAAGTTTTAAGATTTTTTTAAAACAGTGGCCTTGGACAGTTGTCTGATCAACTACAGACATTGCCAGGATTTCATTTGAGGGAGGCGCCCATTTGAGGGGAGGCCTTTATTCATGCCGAACGCTGATAGGAAATGATGGAGCGAGACAAAATACAGATGAACACAGTTCTTCAAATAGTGGCCGTGGTCGGTTGTTTCCAAAACAGCAGACTTTGCCAGGCTTCTATTTGAGCGGCACTTCCATTTGAGAGGAGGGATTAATTTGTTACAAATGCTATTGTAAAAAATGGTTGGCGCTGGAAACATTTTTAGCAACTGGTTGTTGCTCGACGCAACTGTATGCATTACCAGCTGTTTATTTGAGGGAGGCGTATATTTGAGAAAAGGCCAGTCTTTGGACAAAATGCTCATGCAAAAGGGTGGAGCTAGACACGATGATGCATTAAACCACAGATGTCAAAGTCAAGGCCCGGGGGCCAGATCTGGTCCGCCACATCATTTTATGTGGCCCGCGAAAGCAGATCAAACATGCCAACTTCCATGATGCTTGCTAAAATATGGACCAAAATTTCAAATTCTCATATGTAATAAATAGGAGGGACATTGTCAGCATTTTCTTGTTGCCAAACACCTCATTACCGTAACTTAAACAATAGTTGAATCAGCTGTCATTCTTGACTTCCTTAGATGATTTCAGTCATAATGGCAATGGGAAATGGTAACTAAAATGTGGCCTGTGTCGAAAATGTGTTTGACACCCCTGCATCAAACCTGATTACATTGCGCAGGCGTCTGGGCGAGATGATCTGAATAGGCCGAGACTGTGTTGCTTGCTGTGCTGCAGGGGACAGTACTGAGAGGATACAGACAAAGGAGGTGGTGGTGATAGCGGCGATGGTTCCCACCGGGATGGACTTCTGAGCATCGCGCAGATCACCGGAGCGGTTGGAGCCGGCCATGATTCCTGGGCAGAAGATCTAATGTCAGTATCAAAGGCAAAACCGTTGACTTTAACCGTCTGGAGGGTTTCGTTCACCTGTCACCGAAGGGAAGTAGATGCCAACCAGCAATGTGAAGAAGCTGGTGATGTCGGCCAGCACGTAGCGGTTGGCGTTGGTCAGAGGGTCATCCAGCTCCTCGGCAGACTCCATGTTGACCCGCGCAATCAGGTCCCCTTTCTCGTAATAGGTACCAAACAGGTTCTCTGCATGGATTACAGCAATAATCACCATGATGACTAAATACAGTCGTGTATGAGGCTTATGTTCAGCAAAAATCAAATGAGATTAGAAAAAGAGGCAGTCATTTTTTTAACCGACCACCAATCTGTAGATTTTGATAAGAAATGTTAAAAATGCGCTTTTTCTTCACCCGAACTGTTTTTTACTGGTTTCAAAAGTGTAGAAGCTGAGCAAGAACTGATTCAACCTCATCTATATTTTTTTTATGTTATTTGAAAAGAGGAAGCATGTGGCGCCGACCTGTCCAGATGCCGCTGGTCACTCCGGGGATGCCTTGGATCTGTGTCACATTGTTGGCGACAAAGTATTTGTCGCAGGTAGCGTTGAGCAAAGATGAGTCGCAGAACATGTTCCACAGCTGCGTGGTCACCGTCCCGTTGGCCGTCTCCACCGTCTTGGCGCACACGTCAAACGTTTTCCACACCAACGTGCGGTTGCCGAGCAAACAAACTCTGGAGGAAAGACAGAAAAAAAATATAAAAACTCTCAACATGTTTAACTCTTGTCATCGCAACGGAAACCGTATTTGGCCAGAGATTTTTTGGGTGATGTGTTGGGTTAAATATATGCATAATTGGGGGATGCTGTACTGAAATGCTCTCCAATGAACCAAAACCTTGAATGTCCACTCTATGATTATTTTAACCTTTTGAAACACTGTGAATTTCTCCAACGGTGTGTTGTTGCTCTAAGTTTGCCAAATGTATTTTCAGTTTTAATTCATTTTTTTTCCCGTTCATCTCAGGATAGTTGTTTTTTTTAGGGGACTGAAATGCTCTCCAATAAATAACATGCATGCCCGCTTTTTGATTATTTCGACTATTTAGTGTGAATATATTGATTTTTTTTTTTTTTTTTGTGAAAGCGAATGAACTGAAGCGGCAATGAGAAAGATTTATGTCCTACTTTGAAGACACGGATGATTAAAAAAAAAAAAGTTTTTATAAGTACACAAAATTTGGAAATACCATTTTTATTTCACACAAAACTAATTTATCTTGTGTCAACAGGGTTCAATGAGATCCAAGTACAGTATCTCTAAATGTGTATCTTTCAAGAAGTACCGGTACACTGAAAATGAAATTTGACTGACTAATATGATGAGTGTGACGAAAACTTTTTTTTCTTGCTTTTCGAAGCACTCCCTTCCCCAAAACAATTTGGGAGTGTCACCGTTCTCAGAGGTGCAGGGTTCGATTCTGGCTCCGGGCTCCCTGTGTGGAGTTTGCATGTTCTCCTCGGGCCTGCGTGGGTTTTCTCTGGGTACTTTGTTTCCTCTCACATTCCAAAAACATGCATGGCAGGTTAACGGAACACTCTAAATTGTCCCTTGGTGTGAGTGTGACCGCAGATGGTTGTTTGTCTATCTGTGTTTGTCTATCTACCTGTGACTGGCTGGCAAACGGTTCAGTGTGTCCCCCGCCTCGGGTCTCCATTCTCTTTTTGCTGTTCAATGGAAATCCTGCATCTCTAAATATATGTTTTAAATGTTTATAGCCCTGTTTTTCAGATTTAAAAAAAACGTTGGAGTGGATGTTTTTATTCTTTAACTGAAACACTCAAATGAATAGAACATATGGGCACTCTGGTGTCTGTTTGGACTTACGGGAAGTCGGGAGGCTCAACCCCCGTCTTGATGACACCGGCATAGACGGCCAGGATGGAGAGAATGACGCAGGCCAGGAAGACCAAAGCCAACTTATTGACGTATTTGACGCCGACAAACACCACGGTGGCCATGGAGGTGAGCAGGATGGTGCCGTACACACGCATGTTGTTGAGCAGAGCCGCTTCCGCCTCTGCGCCTTCCAGGCCCTCCAGTGGGAAAATGGCCGCCTTGGGCACAATGTAGATCTGAACGAGCACAGATGTGATGTTATTACAATTATTATTATTATTGTTATTATTTAGTGTGAACAATGCGGATGTATGTATGAAGTATACAGTCATATAAACCAGATACAAAAGTGGGGTAAAAAAGTGTACGTTGGTGCAAAAAAATAAATAAATAAATAAAATACAAAGGGTGTAAAGATGTATTGAGATGATGGAATATAGCAAAAGTAGATGTCAAATTTAGTGTATGAAAATAATCAAGTGCAATTTAAGATGTGATTAACATGGCAAAACAAAATATGAAATATAAAAAAGTACAAAGTAAAATCAAATAAATTTTAAAAAGTGAAAATAAAAAGAAAAAAAAATTACAATTTAAAAATATAGTTTTGAATCAAATCCAAAGGGAATAGGATGCATCGTGATTTAAAAGAAAATAATGTTGAAAACAATAAAATATCATGATATACAGTATACAGGATAAATCACAGTGGAAAATACACACCTGTAAAATATTTACATACTTTTTAAAAAAAATAATACGACAAGTATACACAAGTTTAGAATCAATAAACCTAAAATTTGAAAAAATAAAAAAACTAATTATAGGCGGCCTGGTGGTCCAGTGGTGAGCGCAGCGACCTCACAGTGCAGAGGTAGCGGGTTCAATTCCAGCTCCGGCCTCCCTATGTGGAGTTTGCATGTTCTCCCCGGGTCTGCGTGGGTTTTCTCCGGGTACTCCAGTTTCCTCCCACATTCCTTATTGAACACTCGAAATTGTCCCCAGGTGTGAGTGTGAGCATGGATGGTTGTTCGTCTCTGTGTGCCCTGCGATTGGCTGGCAACCGGTTCAGGGTGTCACCTGCCTACTGCCCGAAAATAGCTGGGATAGGCTCCAAGCACCCCCGTGACCCTTGTGAGGATAAAGCGGATTGGAACATGGATGGATGGATAATCAATTATAGTTTAACCCTTTGAGGGACAGCGGTTGCTACAGTGGACATCTTATCATGTGTTCAGGTTACAGGGTGCATGTGAAAGGTTTAAAAAAATAACTATTTATTGAAAATGATCAAATCTGACACACCTTGTATCAGGGAGCATAGGATTAAAAAAAAAAAAATCAATCCTTTTTCAAATGGAGTGTCAGAAATCCAATCGCCTTTCTTTGCCTGCATGGAGATTTACACTTGAAGGTCAGAGGCGAGCTCCTGCTGCCTCCTTGTTTATGGTGCAATTCAATCAATTTCTCCCACGGCGACAAATTTTCATGTTTGTTTATTAATTTTTTTTTTTTTCCAAGTGATGAAAGAGGTGAGAAGAGACCTGCTGGAGGTGTGAAAAGACGGCATTCTCATCATTTTCAGCAAAGGGTTCAGTATAAAAAAGGAAAAACAATCACCGGCCTTGGATGAATCAAACACCCTTGTTCAAATGCCAGGTTTTGTAATAAAAAAGAGGACCAAAGTCCAAAGTTTATCCATCATTAATGTGATGTCGGGGCCAATGTGGTGACCTAGGTGAGATTTTCTATGCCCAGCCCCTTTCATAGACAATTTTCATATGCTGACAAAAGAAGCAAAATTTAGATAATGTCACACAACTCCATCCATCCATTTTCCGATGTGCTTATGATGGGTGCTAGAGCCTATCCCAGCTGTCTTCGGGCAGTAGGCGGGGGACACCCTGAACCAGTTGCCAGCCAATCGCAGGGCACACAGAGACAAACAACCATCCACACTCACACTCACAACTAGGGACAATTTAGAGTGTTCAATGAGCCTGCCATGCATGTTTTTGGAATGTGGGAGGAAACCTACGCAGGCCCGGGGAGAACATGCAAACTCCACACAGGGAGGCCAGAGCTGGAATTGAACCCGGTACCTCTGCACTGTGAGGTCAACGCTGGGTCACCCTGTTACACAACTGAAAATGTAAAATCAAACCTTTTCTTAATTTCTTGACTTTTCAGTTGCTGTCAAACAAAGCATACCAGTGATTTGCTGATGCAACATCAAATTTTATCGAACGACTTTTTATCAAAGCGCCAACGTGACCTCTCTTCCTCCCATTTTTCCACGTGAAAATGATCCTTCCATGCACAAAAGATTTTGATCTGTTCTGTACTCAATGATAAAGCAACGTTTTTCCTCTTGCCTCTTTTTATTTTCACATTCTTTGGTTGACAGTTATCCGGAAGTGTCATTCCTTACATTGGGCACCGCATGGTAATGAAATACATTAAGTATTTACTGCTTAGTACTGTTTCGGACTCTTTTGGTAAATATGCGGAAATAATAACAGCAACATATTTTTTTTAATTTCTACAACAGCCTCCCATTTTTGGCAGCCCCTACAGTCTGCCATCTGCCTATCAGTCGAGCCAGCCCTGTATGATGTATAACCTATACAATCCAATTAAAGAGAGGGGAAATCAAAATAAACTACTGGGATGATATGGTTTGCATAAGTGTGCGCACCCTCCTCATGACTTGGGACGTGGCCCTGTTAAGAATTAACCAATCACATTCTCAATCATGTTAATTGTGAGTCGGTCTTTGATTCACCCTAAATAAAGTTTCGATGCTCCAGCAGACCATTTGTCTTTACTTTTAAGATGTGCAGAAATGTTAAAACCGCCGCATAGGAATGTGAATGTTTTCCATGTGATCTGATACCAAGAGCAGCGTATCAGTAGGCAAACGCGTTTCCTGCATCACCGCAGTCGTTTCCCAAAATAGCAGCATTCGTTTCGCGCGAGGATGAAACATATTCAAATGAGCCCTTTTTTTTCCCCTTCCGAGATGGGCTCCTCGGAATTGTTATTCCACAATGAAAACTATAAGCCAGCATTGACCCAGAAGACAGAATTAACCTCCAGGCATGATCAAACTCTGCATATCATTAAAGACACATGGACAATAAGAAGAACACACAGAACACACAAATAAAGACAAACACACACACACACACACACACACACACACACACACACACACACACACACACACACACACACTGTGGTCTGTTGTAAGTTAGGGACTGCAGCAATGAGAGATACAGTATTTCAAAGTACGCTCTTTGTGTCTTGATGTGCCCCTGAATGCAGTATTTGCATAATTAGCTGTATGAAGACGGAGATGAAACGTTTCATCAGCTGATCAGCATTCAGCGTAGAGAAGAGGTCATGTGATAAAGTCAGCATCTTAAATTTAATGTGGGACACTTTGGAAAGGGATGCTTCAGCGGAGCTTGATCTTAGCCAATCGGCTGCTTTTTTTTTCTGTTTGTTTGCTTTTTTGAGAATTTTTATTTCGAACATTCGGTCAAAAAAATGAATAATAGTACACACACAAAATAAAACCAAAATATAAAATATAAATATTCCAGAAGAAAACACACGTACTGCTAATCTGAAAAGTCTAGCTTCACATTACCAAGATAATAAAATTGCTTCCTAATGACAACGCAAATGAGACTTTTACATTTTACAGAAAGAAAATGCATACCAGTGTACCATGTTATCCAATTCTAATGTAATACATTTTCTTGTATTGCTACAGTTTATCTCACAATTATTTCCATCCATCCAAGCAGAATCTAAAACAGTGGATGCCCCAATAGACTTGGCCGACCCAAAAATCCACACATAATTGGCACACATTGAAATGTAATGTTGAATATTTGAAAATATCTTCATGTTATAATTTGCATATTTAATACAATTCAGCTCATAGATGAATACAATATGCAGTAGAATATAAAAACTTTTTATTATAAAAATTTCAGTGACTGGTAAATATGAGTGTGAATGGTTATCTCTCTCCAAGTGTGCCCTACGACTGACTTCAGCAACCAGTCCAGGGTGCACGCCGCTCCTCTCACCCACAGCTGACCTGCTGCAGAATAAAAGTGAAAGGGAAGTAAAGAAAGTTTTCTCACCAGGAGCAACTCGATGGCACCCAGGATGTACATGGCTCCGGCATAGGTGGTCCCCAGGTAGAAGCAGATCCCCACCGCGCCCCCAAATTCGGGGCCCAGCGAACGGGATATCATGTAGTACGAGCCTCCAGCTGCACAAACACACCAACACAAGTTGAATATGTCATATGATGATTATGCAGTTCCAAGTTATACAAATGACAGCTAGAGGACATTCATATCATTGGCATTTTATCACAGTCATTTTTTTTTTTACTTGATGTCACAATATCAGTAAAAAATGGGGTGGGGGTGGAAACCGGAAGATACTATGCGCCAAAGACTGTAACTTCCGCTAACAATCCAGGCTAAACCTGGCTCCACTCCAGACCTTCTTTCATAAGAGCTGTATTACTTCAACATTTGTGACACCAAAAATTACTTTCCTAATGAGTTGGTGCTTCGGTGCTATCTTCTGGCATATAAGAACATTACAGAACGAGCGCAAAAATTTGCAGCGATCCGGGAACATGTGAGTTTTTCACCACGCTAAAAAGAAGATGCAAAAAGAAAACAAGCAAAAAGGTGAATTTATGAATAGGCAGGGGCATTGGCGGAGCCGGGATTTTTTATTTGGGAGGACCGGGTGTTAGGGGTAGGAGGCTCTTTTGGTGGGGGGGTTCACAGAATATGCCAAAGAATCTATTCCTAATATTTTGCCTTTTTGTTTGATGACTTGTCATATATTTTCTCCCCTTGTCTTTTCATTCCCTGGTTAGCTTTACTTAAAAGTTAAACCACATAGTATTATTAACATTAATAATTTGACATTATATTAAAATCCCTACTTCGAGCCTAAAAATGTTAATGCAATTCGACCACTTTTGACCTAAGTTGGCGTCTGTTAGACCTTTCAACCATTGGAGGGCGCTATTACACTGTATAACAACAATCCATTTATTTTTAGCTTGTGCAAAACAACGGAAGAGTGTCGATGTCCGTCCAAAACAATCTGGACGTAAAAGTGATATGAAACAATGGCTCGCGTTTCACGGAGAAACCAACCTGACATTTGGTTTAGAATGTAAAAAACGAACTCTTGATTGGGTTCAGGAGAATTTTCTTCTTCCTAAATTGTGAGGTGCATTACAACATTATGTGCTACATAGCGCCAACTACTGTGCGGCAAAGGCGTAACAGTTGGGAGGCGTCACTGATTTAAAAAATGCTCGCAGGCTCAATCAGCGTGACTTGAGGCTCTGCTGCTGTCAATCAATTGACGTATAGTCGGGTGGGGGGGCAGTGCCACGCCGACCTCCCCCTGTCTTCACCAGTGGGTGGGGATTCGTGGTACAAAATAAATGATGTTTTTTTTTAATTAAAAAAAAAAGAGATTGGGCATACAATTCAAACAAAATTTGGGGAAAATATTCCTTTAAAGTTGCACGAAACTGACCTCTACTTTTTTTTTGTAATTAACTCTGAATGCATGTTGTTTTTGTTCATTCCAGCATCATTAAGTTGAGAGTGAGTGGATTTTCAGGATTCAAATTGTTGACTTGGTGTTTCAGTGAGCAAGACGGTTGTGACAGAGCATCTTTTTCACTCCATGACCGGTGCGCGCTGTCTGTGGCCGAAGTGGGCAGCTGATGTGAACGCTTGTGGTTCCCACGGAGCCAAGCTCCATATGAACTGTTTCCTTACTAGCAGCCAGAAAAAGTCATCAATTTGTAATGAGCAGGGCAATTGAAGATCCTTGGCCAGCAGCCACACTCTAATGTAAATTTTCAGGATCAAGATTCCCAATAAATCCTGCGATTTAATCGATTTAATGATTACCACTGTAAATGCAGTGGAATCTCCTTAGAACTAATGTGAAAAATGATCTCCAGTCTGCCGCCAAACTTCATTCATCGCTCCGTTTATGCACAAATCATTTCATGAACATTTTGTAAAATTCCTTCCACCAGGTCACTGCTAAAGTACATAGCATTTCGATGAAAGCAAAATGGCTGTGAGTTACCGCACAAACGACTGCAGGAGCTTGCAAACAAGCCTTTCACTCTCTGTCTTTGGGCCTCTTGAACGGGTGTGTACTTGATGATATTTCTGTGTGAATGAGCTCAGCTCATGCATTAAGGATATGTTACTTCTTCATCTCTTCATTCACGGGACATGAACACACTCTTTGACTATACACACCACCACAAACGAGATGTGCTTAACTTACAGATTTTCAACTTTAATTTGAGGGAATTTGAGGGAAACATCCAAATTCTGTAACCACTGTAGGATTTATAACAAGTTAATTGGTCGATATGCCTCCCAGTTTTTATCGGATGCCGGCCAGCTAGCTGCATGCTAGCATTGAATATCCTCGGGTTAAACCAAATTTCTGTGAGAAATACACCACCTCAGTCATGAACATAGCGGTTTCCAGCCGGTTGTAATTCCAAGATCAATTCATTGTACCAGAGATCTTGCGTTGGAAACGTGACGGCTTACGATGGTCACACTAGCATCATTATGCTACATTCATACCAAACGTGAACTAGCATGACTCGCATATGTTTGTCCCCGGGGGTGACTACATCAGGGCTTTTTCGAGAAGAGACCAAAAAAGTTGCCCTGTCAAAACACACAATATTAAATGGAGACCAAAGACTGTTGGAAACAAATCTATGCAATATTTTACAATTTAGACCAAGTACAAAGTTTAATGTTAAGGCCAGGAGAGAAGTCCTGTGCGGTATTTCATTCAATGGAGCAGATACCTGGAATTAAGACCCTGCAATAGTGTTCATATGAGAGCTTATACAGACAAGACTACTTGGAAACTTTATGACGCCACAATGAACTTTAGAGCATGACATCATCTACTCGCTAATGACGTGTTTTTGAATTGAGGAGGAGTCAGAGCATCATACTTCAAGCCACTACTTAACTGAAAAAATATCAATGACACCAACCGCGACTAGTCGAAAGTGACTTTCATTTCACTTTTTAGTGTTGACTTGAAAAACATGCAAGCAGCATTGTTGATAATTGAATAATTCTTCATGCCCAGGAAATACATTTGTGTCGCAATTTGTTGGTGTCACGCAGTGCCTTCCCCTGCAGTCGTACTTTCACTTCAGCCTCGCTCGCTTATCTCTTATTATTGTTTTACCACGGCACTTGCATTTTCTAATTCTGCCCAAATGAAATGAATAGAAATCAACCATAAGCTTAATCAGCGCTGTGCAGCTACACTTCCGCACTTGCCGCTTATTTCCTGTGACCCCCGGGGCTCGTCAACACACACAATTACCGCCATATACCAAATAATGTGTGTTTCAGATGTGCGGCCGCCACTTTGATTTGGCGTAAATATCATTTGTGTACAAGAATCCCAGACGGACTCTTTTAGTAGGGGACGACAAGCTGTGCTCGGGCTAACTTGCAAGGTGTGATCGGCAACTAAAAAAGGGAAATTTAGAAGCGGACTGGTGCCAAACAGAGACTCCGTCGTCTGCTCACCCACCTGGCACGACTCCATTCGTGGCGATGGCGCTCATGGAGATGGCAGTCAGCATGGTCTGCGTAGTGGAGAGAAAAAGATACCTCATTTCAAAAGCTCTCCTTTAAACACGCAACCCTTAAATGCTGTTCCTTTTCCATGCAACACATAGAGTAGGTTGTTCTGGGTCAAGTTTGACATTTGTCATTTTTTTAGTATATTGGATACTTCCAAGGAAAGTCATTAAACGTTCATGGTGAACAAATCACTTTTTGGATATGTTTATTTGGATGTATTATTTTGTTAAATGTCCAATCAAGTCAAACTTGACCCGAAACGTATGTAAAGTTAATTTCAAGTAACTTCACATGGCAGATAACAATAGACTGATCTATATGACAGTTCAATTTCACATTTGATAGGTGGACAGTAACTCCAGAGACACAGCTATTTGGATTCAAACAGTTATAAAGTGAAAGTTGCTCTCATTGTGTGATTTGGTACACAACGTTTTGGAGCACATACTATACACACATTTTATTAGAAATGGTTGAGAGGCACACTCAGGTATGTGGTAGACAAATGTGTTACATGTTTGACTAAATAACAGCTTAATAAGCTCATACTGCAAATCATCACGGTCCATTAAAAATCGTGTATCTTTTTTCATGTATTTTTTTTTTCCATTTTATATATCTGACACACAGAACAGAATTTTGGGGTGAAATAAAAACAAACTCTTGCTGCTGTCCAACAATGTTCCCTCTAATTTTCTATGCGTGTGAGCATTCACACACACTCGCTGAGCATCCCTTGGACCATAATGAGCAAGTGAGTGATAGTCAGACATGTGCACGTCTGCCAAAGCAGTCTCACACATGTCACAAAAACCGAGACCAAAAAAGTTATCAAAAAAAAGATGTCGATAAGTTCAAACCACCTATACATCAAAACAGAACAAATTATTCAATATAAATGTGTGACCCGAATAAAATCAGCCCTTACTTTCATTTCAGCATACAGCTGATTTTAAGTACAATAAATGAAGTCTCAATGACATCTGTAACAATATAGTCCCACCTTGCACACTCATAAATAATGGAGCACGTCATTTAATAAAACACAAACAATTCTGGTCACCTGACTTCCGAAAGTACGAAAGAGCCTCATTTAAGGGACATGCCAATGTTTGGAATGGAGCGGGCCGCGTGGTTAGCATCTGCGTCAGTTGTGAGTGTGAGTGCATGTATGCTTCAAACTACAGTAAAACAACTGAGTGTGCACCCTTCCACTACTGAAACTGTAAGGGAAGTGGGAATGGCGTGGTGTGGTGTTTGCAGATTAAACATGTGTGGAAATGAAGGAATGCATATCAAAATGTAATGTGTGTGAATGCTGCACGCTTAGGGTTATCATGTGCGCTGAGAGGGTCAGAGCAGTGCACAATTCCTCACGTGCACAGTTCAGAGGAAACACTGTTGTCCGATAAAAAGCATGTATCCCCCGCCCAAAAAAAGAAAAAAACTGACTGTTGGGAGTTCCATTTTTCTCCACTGGCTGGCAACAATATGAGAAATTGACACTGTGCTAGGATAAATTAGCATGCTAACATAAATATAGTGTACAATGTGTAGCTAACTTGGCTTCTGACTTCATCCATCCATTATCTGACTCGCATATCCTTTTGTAGGCATGTGAGAGCCTCTCCCAGCCATTATCGGGCCTTAGGCGGGGGACACTCTGAACTGGTTGCCATCCAATCGCAGAGCACACTTGGACAAACAACCATCCATGCTCATAACCACACCAAGGGAAAATTTAGAGTGTTCCATTAACCTGCCATGAGGTACACACTGAAATGGTTGCCAGCCAATCGCAGGGCACACATAGACAAACAACCATTCATTCACACACTCACAGTTGCAGCTAGGGACAGTTTAGATCAGGGGTCCGCAACCCAAAATGTTGAAAGAGCCATATTGGACCAAAAAAAAAAAAAAAAAAAAAGATGTCTGGAGACGCAAAAAATTTAAATCCTTATATAAGCCTTATAATGAAGGCAACACATGGTGTATGTGTCTATATTAGCTATATGAGCCTACTATCAGTTGGCTACAAATATAAAACGAGCCCTCATGATTAAATATTTGTTTTCCCCGCGGTGCACAACCTTTTTTGACCGAAGATCTACTTTTCGATCAACCAACCTCCCGCGGTCGACCCGTTACCGCAAATGCGCGCAGACGCACGCACTTACAGACGCATGCCACAATGAGCAACAGCCTTAACGGCCCCTAAGATGAACGAGGCATGTGATGCGTTTTTGCTGCGTGTTAACTATTGCAGCTCACGTGTACCGTTCAAAAATGCTTCGCTCGGCCCTCCAGATTCCCATTCTTTGCCAGTACCCTCAGTGAAATGTACATGAAACGCCATGTTTTTTACAACAGCCACCTGCCAGGCATCCCAGCCTGCTAATAGAAACGTGTGTCGCAGGCTATGACGCAAATCTTCGTTAACAGAAATGTTGACTTTAATATGTATTTTACACATTTTTACAGCATTGGAAAACATTAAGAATGTATGTGTCATGTTTTGCCTCCTACAGAAAACATATTGAAACCATAAATATATTTTCCTCCCCAATCTTTTTCCATTTTCAAGCATTTTTGAAAAAGCTCCAGGGAGCCACTAGGGCGACGCTACAGAGCCACATGCGGCTCTGGAGCCGCGGGTCACCAAACCCCAGTTTAGAGTGTTCCATTAACCTGCCATGCGTGTTTTTGGAATGTGAGAGGCAACCGGAGTACCCGGAGAAAACCCACGCAGGCACGGGGAGAACATGCAAACTCCACACAGGCAGGCCTGAGCCCGGATTCCGATCCGCGGGCTCTGCACTGTGAGGCGGATATGCGAACCAGTCTACCATTCTGCTGCCCGTAACAAACTCGATGGACTATATTAATTATGTACCAAGTGTACAGTGCATGTCATGATGGTATTTTGTATTCATCTGCAGCCATTTTGTCACAATCCATTTGATGGCTAATAAAAATGAATTTTTCCCTTTGCCTTGCAATGTTCTACTTCATCATCAATGGGATATTATTCAGCAAGATATGAAATAAGAAAATCAAAATGTGTGTAGATTAGATCATACAGTATATGCTTACAGTGCTGCCTGGCTAGAGATAGGCTAGGGGGGTAGAAAGAGCGAGGAGAATGTTCCGGAAGAGAAAAAAATGACAAGTGGAGAAGGAGAAAGCGAAGGAGTGATGTTGGGTGACGGCGCGAAGATGGCATTAAGATTTCATGGGTGCGCTCCAACGCTATTGTTCAACTGTTGCGAGTGACGTTTCACATGGTTGGCACATGAAAAGAGCTTGAGGCAGGACAACTTTTGTTCAAGTATTTTTCTCTTTTTTTTGTCTGTCTCCACTGCAATGATGTCATTGTTGTTGTGCTATTACATAATTGCTCATCTGAACACCGTTGCTTCCATTAGCCCAAATAGCAAGCCTAACATTAAATAAGATTGAAAAACATTTGAAACAACACTGATAAACATATTTGATATTCTTATTAATATTTTTAATAACACTTTTTAAAAAATGAGACCCTAGTGGTTAGCCCTTCTACTTAAAAAAAAAGTACCCAGAGAAAACCCACATAGGCACGGGGACAACATGCAAACTCCACACAGAGAGGCCAGAGCCGGAATCCAACCCTGAACCTCCGCACTGTGAAGTCGACGCGCTAACCACTGGACCACCGGGCCCAAATGTAATGTTGATTAAAACGGTTTGACTTGAAGGATATTTCCGAACAGAACTTTTTGGTTGAGGCTATTTGATCTGGGAAAATTTTTTCCCAAGAATTTGGGTTAAAACGATCAACATTGGAGCATATTTTCTATAAGAATTGTGGTTGAAATTCTTTGGAGGCATTTTCTGCCCAAAAATTTTGGTTTGATTTTGAAAGATATTTTTTACTCATAAATTTGGAGTGAAAATGCTTCACATTCTTTTTTCCGCAGCAATTTTGATTGAAGTTGTTTTTGGGTTGAAACCATAAATATTATTTCTCCAAATTTTTTGACTTGGGAGGCATGTTCTTCCCCCAAAATGTATGGTTGAAACGGTTTAGTTGTTTTAACCACAAATTTTGGCTGAAATTTTCGGAGTTTGCAACACAATTTCCCCCAAGAAATTTGGTTAAAATTGGTTAACTTGGGGATACATTTGTCACAAAATCTGTGATTGGCTCTGTTTGCTTGACAACGCCTTGACTTTGGAACATATATGATTCACGGGAAATTTGGACTGAAATTTGTTGACTTTGTAGCAATTTTTGCCAAGAATTTTGGTTTCATATGTCGGAATTGGAGAGAATATTTCCCCCCTATATTTAGACAGACTCTTATAGACAATAGGTCACAACTTTCTAGACTACTTTACAGCAAGTTAGATCCTCCAAGCTAAAAAAAAAAAAAAAAAAAAAAACAAGCTTAACCTTCATTGTTGGACAACTACTGACGACGCAGTGACTCCCTGGCTAGGATGAGAGACATTTGCCTATCACCTCATCCGTCCCCGTGAAGGTTGTAATGTGGTTAGTGGCACCTGAGGGCCCGCACGATGACTAGCCAAGTGACGAGCATCAGGGCTCAGGTTCTTCGCGCTAATCTGCTCCTAATGAGGCCACAAGCTCTTCTCCCGCCACAGCAGATAAGGCCGTAATTGTTTAAGTGTTTTATCTGATGGCGCGCAGAGGTAGCCCCGTCGCATATGCAATCGTTGAATCGCAAGACGACAACAGAGGAGGTGCGCCAAATCTGTCTGGATGTTGAAGGTGGCGTTTAAAAATGGAACACTTCCTTCTGTCGCAGCCTCCATCAACAAAATTGTTCAGACAAGGTGACACTTAACCACCAGGATGTCTCCACTCCTCCGTCTCATTTTCAGCTCTGTCATTTTGGTGACTTGACTTTTACCAGCGTCCTGCTTTTCTCCGCGCCATTTTCTGGCTGTCAGGGACATGATTAAATGTCATCAATCGCCGGATGTCTTTGACTCAGTGGATCGCTCCGTCCTATCAAGTCAGCACCCGACCTGGCCTGCAATCAAACCTCCTGCCGTGAAAGTACATTAGGATGGAATACGGGGTAAATGTGAAGCCAAAGCTTGTTAGCCTTGAGGAAAATACATTGAACATTGGACTTTGTAACTCCTCAATGGTAATGACATGTTTTACGTTCTGAGTGTAAAGTTGTGGAGTTGGAGAGAAAAAGTCAACATAGGACCGAAGTTGTAAATATTGCTTTTAAAAATTGCGAGAATAACTATTTTGCAATAAAGAAGCCATTAATTTACAAGAATAAATTAATTTAACAATTCAAAAGTTGGGAAAAAGTTGGAATTTTATGATTGTACAGATGCAATATCGTGAGTATAATGTCGTGTTGAAAGAAACGTTTGGATTTTAAGAAACGAATAAAGTCAACATATTTAATGTGACAAAAATGTAACATTTTGCAAAAATTAAGTTGATAATTAAGGAGTCTATTGTGAGTGAGTCAAAATTTGGCAAAAACAAAGGTTGAGTGTCGTGTTTTCTGAAAAAAAAAGACTTTAAAAAATGCCATGATTTTTGGAAGGTGAGGATATGTTCACGACAATATGAGGAAAAACTCTGACTTTTGCCAGATTTAAGTTGCATATCAGGAGGACAAAAATGTAACATTTGGCAAAAATTAAGTTGATAATTAAGGAGTCTATCGTGAGTGAGTCAAAATTTGGCAAAAACAAAGGTTGAGTGTCGTGTTTTCTGAAAAAAAAAGACTTTAAAAAATGCCATGATTTTTGGAAGGTGAGGATATGTTCACGACAATATGAGGAAAAACTCTGACTTTTGCCAGATTTAAGTTGCATATCAGGAGGACAATTTACGTGCAGGTTGGAATATTACAACAATAAAGTCAAGACTGTGCGAAAAAACTGTTGGGATTTTAATAGAATTAAAGAAAATGTTACAAGTCTCTTGTGTTTTCTGAAAAAAAAAGACTTAAAAAAAAGCCATTATTTTTGGAAGGTGAGGATATGTTCACAACAATATGAGGAAAAAGTCTTGACTTTTGCCAGATTTAAGTTGCATATCAGGAGGACAATTTACGTGCAGGTTGGAATATTACAACAATAAAGTCAAGACTGTGCGAAAAAATTGTTGGGATTTTAATAGAATTAAAGAAAATGTTACAAGTATGAGAAGGATTTGTACTGTATGTACCCAGTTTTACTCAAAATCACTCAAACTCCCATTGTTTGAATTTCATTTGTTTTTATTGCTAGTTGTTTGTTTTAACTGTTTCGTTTTTGAAAATTGCTCTAAAAAGCGTGCGATGAAAAGTTTCATGAGCTCGTCGGCATTGAGTGCGAAGGACACTTTAGGTCTGCTTGCATCCCGACCTAACGCTCCTATTTGGCCTTTGGTGGACCTCGGGAGCGGAGAGGAGATTGCTTGTGACAGAAGAGTGTCCCGCAGCACGAGAACCCCGCTTCATTAGCACGCTTCACTACGCCCCCGTTGTCAGATGATTTCTTCCATTGTCCGCTGCAACTTCAGCAGGAGCCCACTCGCGGGGGGATCTGACATCCTGGCGGAGGGCAAAATGGACTCTCAGGTGTAGGGACGTGAGATAGTGAAGACACGCATTGCAGGCTGCCTTAGTGGTGCATTTGGGGGTGGGGGGGGTGTTAGATGAGGTATGGGTAGGGGAATCAAAAGCGAGGGAGGAAATAATGAGAGCGCAAAATGAAAAAAGGCTTCCAGAAAATTGAGGAAGCGTACGAGATGAGAGTAAAAGAGAAAAAGGATGAAGCATCCGTAGCATATAAATGACTCCCCCCAACACC